TAGAAGAAAGTATTCTTGCATTGAGGGAGTACTTGAGTGGAGGCCCAATGTCCTTCTGCTACCTTAATACTAAACATATAAATATAGGCACATAGATCTATTTCCCCATCCTCATATATAAATATATTTGCATATGTACATGTCTTTATCTAGACCTCTATAAATACTGACTTTCTAATGACTGTTGTGGACAGTAAAGACAGAGGATTCTGGATCTAGATAAGATCTATATTAACCATTAACACGTGAGTGCCTAGGGAAAGCTTGATTGCTGGTTTTTTGAAGTAGAAAAAATGTTTTGAATAAATGTATGACAGTAGCAGAAGCCTCCCCAGTTTCTGAAATTAACTTCCATTAAAGACCAACTGTGTCATGTAATGCTGTTCTTTTACTGGCGGAAGGACTATCCTGAGGACTTAAATGGGCTATGTCACCATTTAAGATTAGATGATATCTATAGTTCTTTTCTTGTAGATTTTGTATTAATAAAGTGCCTGGGAGTTCTAAAGTGAATGACAACTTCTATATATAGTCAATAATTTCAATATTTTCTGTAGGAAGAAAAATTAAGGACACTTATGTGCAACCAAAGATGAGGTTTTGCCTTTAATTTACTTTCTCATGTATTCTGTCCAAAGTAAGCTTGTGAAGGCCTGAGTTACAATTTTCGTAGAATGAATCTTCTCTGGACATTGGTAAGTACAAAGAAAGAGGAAGACATTGTTTACTCCAGGATGTTTGTTATGGATGCAATCACCTCTAGTTGGACATTTTTCTCTTCTTACCCCATTAAGTCAAAATAAATAGCTACACAGTTTCAAATATTTTTAAATGCAGTGTAACTTAGAATATGTTGTATCAGGCTATGCATGCATTCTGCACATCTTGAGTTAAAGGTAATATTTTTGTTTTATATTCTTAAAAAAGGTGATTAACACACAAATTAACAATACTCTTAGTTATAACCATAATTAGATAAATACTAACATTTGGTGATGTGCCATTTTATATTTTTACTCTTTGTTTATTTTTCCCCACTTGAAAAGGTTTATTAAAAAAAAAACCATTTATACATGACTCTGTGATCAGGTGGATGACTACAGACAAGGTCTCTCCATCTTAGTCTTGTCAGTTCTTTCAAAAAAAGGTCCAATATAAAAGTGACTCTTCAGGAGGTCTGTTGGGCCAGTTTCATTCAAGTTAGAGAGGTCAAGTCGGAAATTTATGGTAAATATCTTTTAGGATTTCAAAGGGAAACTCTTGATTAATTTCTCCAAAATACACAGGGTGATCACTGTGCCTTACTATGAGAAAAAGCCCGGAAAGTTGCACTGACATTTTTTTTTAACTGTATGCACTCATTCATTGTAAGACTGCCTATGATAATCTCAATGGGAAACATTACCCTATCCACCCAGTAGCCCTGAAATAGAGGAAAGAACTAGGAGGCAAAGGGCATTTATAGAGATCTAAATACAGGTATATACAGATGTAAATATATTTATATATGACGAGGAGGATACAGATCTATGTACATATATTTATAGGTTTAGTATTAAGGAAACAGATGGACAGTGGGCCCCTACTCAAGTACTCCCTCAACACAACACTTTGTTCTAACAATTCGGCAGTCTGAGATGCTCACCTTCCTGGCATGAACGCTGAAGACAACGGGTGCACAAGCAAATGTGGTGAAGAAATCTGATGGGGCCCACTATCAAAAGATATATAGTCTGGGGTCCTTTAGGCTTGAAGAGAAACAAGCGGCCATCCAGCTGAGAAACAACAAAACCCACATGAAAGAAGCACACCAGCCTATCCTGACACGATCGCTGAATACAAAACGGTGCATAAGCAAATGTGGTGAAGAAAGCTGATGGTGCCTGGCTATCAAAAGATATAGAGTCTGGGGTACTTTAGGCTTGAAGATAAACAATCTGACTGAGAAACAACAAAGCCCACATAGAGGAAGCACACCAGCCTGGTGAGATAATGAGGCATCTATGGGATCAGGCATCAGGCCAAAAAAATCATAGCATTGTGGATGAGGGGGAGTAAAAAGTGGAGACCCAGGGCCCATCTGTGGGCAATTGGACATCCCCTTGCAGAAGGGTGGCAGGGAGGAGATGAGCCAGTCAGGGTGCAGTGTAGCAGTGATGAAACATACAATTTTCCTCTAGTTCTTAAATGCTTCCTCCCCTGCAATATCATTATCCCTATTCTGCCTTACAAATCTGGCTGGACCGGAGGATGTACAGTGGTACAGATAGGAACTGGAAACACAGGGAATCCAGGAGAGATGAATCCCTCAGGACCAGTGGTGAGAATGGTGATACCAGGAGGGTGGGGGAAGGTGAGGGAGAAAGAGGAAACAGATTACAAGGATCTACATATAACCTCCTCCCTAAGGGACAAACCGTGGAGAAGTGAGTGAAGAGAGATGTCGGACGGTGAAGATATGACAAAATAATAATGATTTATAAATTATCAAGGGTTCATGGGGGAGGAAGGAATGGGGAGGGAGGGGAAAATGAGGAGCCAATACCAAGGGCTCAAGTAGGAAGCAAATGTTTTGAGGATGATGAGGGAAACAAATGTACAAAAGTGTTTGACACAATGGATGTATGTGTGGATTGTGATAAGAGTTGTACGAGCCCCCAATACAATGATATAATTATTAAAATTGCAAAATAAATAAAAATGAATGAATGAATGAATAAATAAGACGATTTGAGTCCCTTAAGGGTGCTTGAACCATAGTGGCATAGTGGTTACAAGTTGGGCTGCAATCTGTAAGATCTAAGTTAGTAACCAACAGTCTCTTTTCAGAAGACAGGGCTTTATCCTCCTGTAAACAGTTACAGTCTTGGAAACATAGGAGCAATTTCACCCTGTTCTACAAGGTTATTAAGATTTGTCAGCGACATGATGACAGTGAGTTAAGGGTGTCAAAGCTGCCATTTGATAAAGGTATAAAGAAAATGATTTATCCTTCTTAGGATCCTCTATGTTTTCCTATTGCACCAACCAACTCCTAAATCACAGAACTGCTCTGTAAAGGGGAAAGAAAAAGATTTACATTGTGTGCAATTTGGGGGCTCTTGATCAAATCACACATACGTAATGCAATGGTGTAGAATATTGAACTGAAGTGTAATTACTTCATATGGCTGTCCTATCCATAGCCTTTGTAATTCTCATCCAGTCACTGTTTGGTAGTATGCCAATAAGAAATAGAGGACAGAGTGATTGATAAGTTTTGCCATTTCAGTGAGTGTAAAAGTGCCCCATGTCGGAAACCGGAACAGGCAATCCTGCAACCATCAAGAGAGAAGAGTCACCAGTAGGGCAGGTGAGAGATTCTTACCTAAACTGATGGAGATAACACAGGCATCAGAGTCCTCAGCACCAAAACCATGAGACAGAGCTAGGCCCGTGGAATGAAGCAGAAGCTAAGGGGTTGAGAGGCTGAGGACCAGGGCAGAGGGTGCAGTTCCTGGCATGGTTAAGAAGTGCTGCTGTGGACCCCCTCCCTGCAAAAACAGAAAACCAATAACAACAGAAAAAACCCAAGCAACAGTATCCACACTGCTTACCGATCCTGACTTGGATAAACCTATTTACTGCACACATAACCCATACTGTGCGGTCCCTGTGGACATTGCAACGGATTGTCAAACTTAGAAGAGATGGAGCGTGCCCTCGAAGGGAGGACTGGTGTCAGAACAGGCTAAGGAAGTTGGAGGGTGGAGGCAGGTCTGACCTTTGCTTGTGGCATTTGACCTTGGCCTGGTATGGAGTTGAATTCTCCTTTCCCTCTGTGTAGCCAGAGGAGGTCAGGTGTGGCTCCTGAGCCATTTTTTTCCCACATAGATAATATCTACAAGAACCTCCATCATTCTCAGACCTGGTCACAAATTTCACCAGAAAAAAACCACATAGACGCATAGTTTCAATGGTTTATTTTCTGATGACTAGGCATTACCAGACTCATCCATGGTTCGTCAACCAGGTCTTACATCTCTATTTTACAAATGCAGTCATAGGTAGCCTTCTTATATTACTGAATGTGGGTGTAGGAGGCAGAATTCATGTCAACTAATGTCAAGAGGCATGTTAGGTGTATGCACAGGTGAATTATGCCAGAACTTTTTGCATAAATTTGTCCCTTCTACCTGTTATATGTGTGTGCCATTATATACTTGGACTGCTATTAGCACAAATATGCTAATCAAATCAAATCATTGTTTAGAATGTTGTCGCTTTCCAATATGTAGTCTCAATGGCTAACATCAATTATAGAATTCAAGTATAAAATAACATCATTACTTGATTGTGAAAGGCACATTCCTAATGGCATTTTACTTAGCACAGGCATTTTTAGAACCATAATCAGCACTTTAAAAATATTTGTACGTAGAATGTTCTGTTCTGGGTGGAAAGAACATTGGAAACAAGGATATTCATGGAGAAATTAAAAGTCAAAAGTCCCTATGTGTGAAGTAAAAAAGAAATAACTGAAAGAGAGGCTTAGGAGGTAAATGGCCACCAAGGTTGAGGAGATCTATCGACACACAGGAGAACAGCTATGGTCTCAGACTCTTAAAGAGTTTTGAGATTGAACACATTCTCTCACTATCCCTTTAGTCAAACCGTCAGAGAGCAAGTTACAACATGACTGGGAGGAGGAAGGACTTCAGTATCTGACTGCAAAAAAACCGTGTCTGGCAGGCAGACAAGTGAGAGCTGTTGAATCTTTCCTAGAACTGTTTCTTCTCAAGGTAAGTTCTCAATCAATAACATGGTGTATATGAATTGAAGAGGGGCATTTCCAAGCCCCTTCGTGTTCTAACATTCTATTTCATTTTATTATCAGAGAAAAAAATATCCTGAAGTGTTCCTACAGAGGACTTGAGTAACTTGAGAGGAAAATCCAGCACATGTACAAGAGATTATTCCATGAGGCGAATGCAGAGCATGGTGAGCTACCGATTAGCTTGAAGAATAAGTTGATCCCGAATCTCTGCACGTAGATACAGTGCAGTATGGACCAGCTGGGTGAACATAACACCAGGTAAGCATGGGTTGTCAAGATTTAATGGAAATATTGAAGATAAACACCAGTAATGTTGCTAGCATGCTCTGCACTGTTGTGAAGGACTCTCATGACTACTGTTGTCCAGGCTGTCAAAGAACCTGTGTGTTGTAATACATTTGTACTTGTTGAACTACAACATTGAGATATATAATCTATACAGAAGTCATGGTCTCCTCCTTTTCAGAATTTAAAATCCAGGAAAGGACTTTGTAACTTAAGAAACTAGGTACACATTTGGTGATTTACAGTAAATTAAAAAGAGGGGGGTACAATCAAGTGTAATACTGAACCCTGATTTGATTTGTAGGGGACCAGTGAAGATATGCTCAAAGTTTCTGACTTGTGGTTGGGTTGGGCAGATGGATGCAGTCTTCCAGTTAAAGGAAGGGAGGAGACAAGGGGAAGGGAATTAATCCCTCCAGCTGTGTCCAGGCATGAGGGTCTTGAACTGATTACGGCCCTTGACATAAATCACTGCACTTCTCCATCCCATTCTGGCTACACAGATTTCTCCTTCCCTCTGCTCCCCCGGCCTGGGTGTTATTAGCTCTGGGGTGTTATAATGGCTTGGTAAATTTCTCCCAAATGTGGCCAGGTCTTTATATTATTTACAGGTAAGCTTTGCTTTAATTGTCCTAGGAGCCCTGGTGTTATACTGGTTACACATTGGGCTATTAACTGCAAAGTCAGCAGTTCAAAACCACCAGGGATTTTCAACTCCTATTAAAGAGTTAGTCTCAGAAACCCACAGGGGCAGCTCTGTCTTGTCCTATTGGGTGGAAATGAGTTGGCTTCAACTCAATGGCAGTGAGTTTGTTTGTTTTGTGTTTATTTCTTCTATTTTGAAGATGTCATTTTTGGGGGGCTGGGTCCCCTCACTGATAACAGAGACTTTGAGAGGATATAACCTGGGACTAGGGAGATGAGTAGGGGCTTGCTAGGCAGAGAGAGAGAGAGTGCTGTTTGTGGAGGGACAGGAAGCAGATTAGGAGGCAAAGACATTGATAATGCAGAAAGACCATATACATAGACTTCAACACAGGCATGAGACAGGTACCTTTTACAAAACATATAAGAGTTAGTATGACTGCAGCCTACAGAGCTCAGCCTTACAAGGTCAAAGAGTAGACCCGGTCAGGACTTTGATGCCTCCGAAGAAGAGGTACCTTTATGAATGACCATGAGCCGGCATTGAATCCACAGCAGTGAGTTTGGAGTTTAGTTATCTCTAGAAAACAAGGGATGCGATGTTCCCATTTTCCAACCCTGAGAGACAAAATGGACTCACTTTGAGAGCGCTACAGATACGGTATCTTTGGGCAAAGTAATTTCACTTTAAGAGGGGAAGTAGAGAATGTTAGAGGGGATAGCTTCTTGTGATGGCAGAGTTCTAGAACAGTGGCAGTGGGAGCAGTGTGAAGATACATGGACAGGAGATGAGCGCTCTCTCAGTGCTCCATATTTGGATGATTATCGGGAACTATGGATAGGTAAGGAATGGTAGACATAGTACTGACGTAGGTTAGACTTGGGAGAAGGGGAAGTGTTGAAGATTGTCAAGGGCAGGGATATCAAGTGGTTGAACCATCAGGCAGGGAACTAGGTATATCGCTTTAAAGGAAATGGATAAATAATATTTTGCTTTGTCATTTTAACTACTTCAGCATGTGCTACAAAGCCAGGTGAAATTATGAATGGCTTGGTAACATGGGAAAGCAGCGATCCAATGATCTTTCAAAATCTATTCGTTGGGGAGTCATACTATTAGTAATTCTCATGCAAACCCACAGTGCCTTGAGAATGAAACAGCTACCCCACAACAGTCACCAGCACATTTTATCTATTTTGTTGGAATACAGTTTCCCATACCCATGTAATTAATCAGAAAGTCAGTATACCATTCAATAATTTGATCAATTGTTTTTCCATGAGATGAGTACAAATTCAATAACTTTCGAGCAGTACTAGTGTAAGTCATAAGCGTAGTGTAACCCAATTATCTATCTGACTCCAAACAGCACAATCTCGTGATTCTTCTGCTTTTTTACCTTGATACTAATTTATGGGTTTCCTGTGCTAAGTTTTTGTAGTGTAATCAAATATAATCATGTTTCCCTAGGTGATTATAGCTATTCTTTAAATTCTAAGTATTTTGCTGTCGTGTGCTTTCATTTTTTTGTCACTAATGCTCTGATACTTCTGGGATTTGTTCTATACAGGGAGATATCAATTTGATATTTTGCTAAAATGTTGAAAATTGTCTTAAATGGTGTTCATATGATGATCAATATTTTCAGCCTTGTTTCCTGGTGTTTTCGTTGAATTTCTGGACTCTAGCTCAGCTACACATTTATTTTCATTCATTTGCTATCTCTTCTGCTACTTCCTTACCCTGTAATTATTGTAGCCTTATGCTATGCTGTTGGATAGCAATAGTTTCTGTTGTTCTCTGTGAAACTGTATTGATTTTTCTTACAGTTGAATCTAGAATAGGTCTGACAGACTCACAGGGAAAAAAATCTAGCTCAAATGTTACTGTTGATTATATTAAATGTATATTATTATTTTGAAAAAATTTGTCAGCCTTACAATATTGTTTTCTTGCCAGGGGTCATGTTTTCAAGCTGTCCTTTATGTCTATCAATAACATGCTTTAATTTATTTTAAGTCCCGTCCGTTTAATACCAATAAAAAAATCCAAAAATGAAAAACGCGGGGGCAAGGGAAGAGGCCCCTGGGCCAGGGACGCTGACAGCCATGCTTAAGGCACCAAGCCCAACCGCAGGGCCCCCTGGGTATTGCTGTTGCTGCGAGGTCGGCGGGGTGGGGGTGGGGGCAGTGATTATCTTGTGGGAGCCACTGTTCACATGGGTCAGGGAACCTCATTTCTTCTGGGGGGTGCTCAACTTCTGCATGCCCCGGATCTTGTCCAGCAGGCCAGAGATGAAGGCCTCAGTGGGTTTGTAACAGTCAACCAACAGCTCCTTGACCCTAGCTGCGCGGGTGTCCTCACTGTCCAGATCTAGCAGCTCATCTACATCAATCTCCAGCTGGGGATCTCCTTTTCCTGACAGTCATAGAGGAGTGGGATCTGCTCCAGGAGTCACTCCTTCAGGTTGAGTCGCTTCCTTAGCTCCTTGCAGTAGTACTTGACAGTGACCTTCCCTTGGCGCCTTACTAGGCCTTCATCATCCTTGCCACCTGGGCCCTCGCCTGCAGCCCCAGGAGGGTTCTGAAAGTAGATGCCAGACCCAGCCTGGGCCACCACTACCTGGGCTGCCAACACCGCACCCCCACCCTCTTCTCTGCTGTCCATCCCCCGCCCTCTTCTCAGCTGTCCATCCCCTAGGGAGGAAGCTATACATAGATTATTGTTATTGGTTCCCCCTTTCTACCCCACATTCCCTCCACCCTCCAGGCATCGCCACTCTTACCACTGGTCCTGAAGGAGTCATCTGTCCTGGATTCCCTGTTTCCAGTTGCTATACGTACCAATGTACATCCTCTGTTCTAGCCAGATTTGTAAGGTAGAATTGGGATCATGATAATGGGTGGGTGAGGGAGGAAGCATTTAAGAACTAGAGAAAAGTTATATGTTTCATCGTTGCTACTCTGCACCCTGATTGGCTCATCTCCT